TCCACCCGATGTCCATCAAGGTGTTAAGAGTGTTAGCTCACACGTTTTTAGTGATGTGCTTGGGATCAAGACAGTGGCGTACACTCAGAAATGGCCAGTAAGGTAGTTTCCAGAATACAGATTTTTTTCTTTTAAACGCTCTCATCAGGCGCTGCTACTGCATTGTCCCCCTTCCCAAGGACAACCCCTAGTTTGTTGAGTTCTCGAAGTATCGCAGGTCCATCTCGATATTTTGGAGCTAAGCGTTTCTCAATAGTACCATTGAAATCTTTTCTGTTCCTGCGGTAAGGGTGATCCTTAGGTAGGAACCTACGGTGTCCCATATAAACTATATTTGAGTTATTTGGCAGATTTACCGCATCGGTGTCGTCCAAGCACTCGACACATCCAGTATAGCCTTTTGTCTTCTCTCCGGACAATGAACCTCTACCTGGCAGGTCGGTGATTGTAGCCATAAGTACTCCCTTGATCGTGACATGTTCCTTTTTGTACTCGTCCCAAACATCCGACACACCCTTTTCAAACATCTCCACTAGTTCATCGATCACTAGTTCTAGAAACACATCGATGTCATTCCCAGGTTGTCTTGACCCTTGGATCAGTTGTGGCATCTGGATGTACGACCGCTTCATACAGACCCAAGGTGGAAGGTTGTATATACAGAGCATCACTGGCCAGGTGCTATGATTGCTTCTAACCTGGTCGAAAGGATACATCCCATCTGTGCTCAAAGCAAACCAAAGGTGCCTTACCTCTCCACCAATGTCCTTATAGAACATAGTATTGATAGTCCTCTAGTCATGCCCATCGGCGGGGTGCCTCATCATTGTATCTTTCTTACGCTCTTCGCCATGCCAGCACAACAGCTTGGCTGACTTTGCACATGCAAACAGCCTATGCACCCGAGGAGCTATAGGGAAATACCAAATGACCTTTACGGGACCTTCTCTGGTCTTGGTACCCTCATCTAACGGCCCTTCCTTATACCGTAGAGCTTCACACTTAGGGCACTTGTCCAAGTCTTTGTATTTTTCTCTATGGTACAATATGCAATCATTGAAACACGCGTGTATTTTTTCAACCTCGAGGCCGATGGGGCAGATCATTTGCTTGGCCAAGTATGGCTTTTCTGGCAACTCGTTTTTTTCTAGGAGCATTTTCCTTATTATACCTAACAATGGCAACTCGTTTTTTTCTAGGAGCATTTTCCTTATTATACCTAACAACTGATCGAAACCTTTATCGCTCAATCCGTTTGTCAATTTGAACTCTAATAGCATGATGTCGGCTTCCAGTTTGCTCATTGGACAATCCCTATACAATGGTGTTTTGCCATCTTGTCTCATTTTCTCTAGCTTTCTCAGCTGTCTTTCACTAAGACATCCGGTCTCTACGTTACGTAGCAGATGAGAAATGCCATCGTTATCCTCGGTGTCATCAGCTAGTGTGTTCCTAAACACATTATTAACTGTGGCCATAGGTTCCGTGTTGACACCGGGTTCCTCGTCACCATCGTGGATGGCTACGTCAGGCATGTCCACGTCATCATCGTTTTCCTGCAGAACATTCACACCAACCTCGCCATGCATAGTCCATATCGTATAGTTTGGCATGAACCCCTGGTAATCAAGTGCGATCGTATAGACTCAATTTGACAAAAGTTCCTTTGATTCTTGCAATTTTTGCATGGACAAAAGACAGGGTTCCCATTCCCAGCATGGGCTTTGGCATCGGTGATAAACTGGTTGACGCCATGCATGTACCGCTTGTCCGTTTGGGACAGATGCATCCACTCTCGATCCATCTCTGCACAAAAAAATACTGAGACGGCAATTAGAAAGAATTAATAAGAAATCGAGCTTCATGAACAACAATTGTAGTTCGAAAGTACCATTTTTGGAAAACATTATTGTACACTAATTATTGGAAAAATGAAATTGGTAGCCCCAGCCCTGTAAATTGAAAATCATAGTAAAAAATAATTATTGCACAATATTGAAGAACAACTATACTACTCTACTTCTAAGAACTAATTATAGCATCACATACTAACAATGATGATCTTGACCACCATGGAATAATTAGCTAGGAATTCAAATGTGTTCATAGACACCCACCATTTGGATGATGGATTCACCACAATTTAAGCCTTGCACAAATGTCCAATTGGAAAAGTGCTCTCTAGAATGGAGAAAGAACTAGAATAAGAATCAAGCAATGTAGCCATCCAAACGAAGCTAATTAAGCAACAAAATCAAAGGAGTGGATGTTTGTTACTAACCTTAAAGCAAAAAGATCAAGCCATTCTTCAAAATCCAAGCGCTAGCTTCATGGTGAAGAGCAGTCGCAACAATGGAGGGAAGGGCCCAAACGCGCGCCTCTGTTCTCGGGATGAAAGAGAGGAGGAAGGAGAGGACGACTGCAGCCTTTTTGTGCTGTAGGCTTATCACCGTCGGTTTATGGATAGAACCGACAGTGATAGAGCCCAATCATAGCCGGTTTGTGGTTTGAACCGGCAGTGATGAATGGCCGCCAAAACACTGCTGGTTCAAGCCACAAACTGGCAGTGATTGGGCTCTATCACTGCCGGTTTTAGCCCAGCCCCAATTATTTTCTTATTTTCGAGCTCATAACCGACAGTGAAGGTACATCACTGCCGGTTCTCACAAATCCGGCAGTGATGAGGCCGGCATTGATGTCCAAATTTGGCGTAGTGTGCCGTTGGTTAGATTTTGTGTATTGAGCTCGCCTTAACGTGATCTTCGTGCGGTCCATGTGGTTTATGAACTAGATTTATGTCAATAGTTTGCTTGGTTTATTTATAAAGCACACATGGTGAAAGTAATTATAAGTAGAGATGGTTAAAGAAACACTCGATTTGTCTCTTGTCTCTTGTCTCTCCCTATATATTCGTTCTTACTTCTACGTCTTACAATTGCCGCTCCTCTTGCATCTTAAACTACTTTACTTTGGAGCTGTTATCTACTTCACTATACCTTATTCTTTTTCCCTAATCGAACTGCATACATCCAATATAAAAACATCTACTCAACCTAATAAATGTGCAAAGCTTGATGAAGGTGAGGACAGTGTACATTTATAGTGCGTGCACTACCAGAAAACTGAATTTTCTTGGGGGCAAAAACCAGCCAAGGAAAATACCATAATCACCAAAGAAATAATTCTTGGTGGGCAACCGTCAAGTGAAATCCGCTTAGGGTAGAGCACAAAGGAAATTTGATTTCCTTTGGTGATTGTTCACCAAGGATTATTTCCTTGTTGGCCAACATCAAATCTGATTAACTAAAACGACAAGGAAAAGTTCTAAATGTCTTGGTGGTTTCATTTTGCTCCTTCTGTAAGATGGATGGAGAAGAAAGGGTAGTTTTCAATCACACCAAATTGTTTGCTTCTTCTTAACTAAGAACCCAACCCTGTCTTCAATAAATTATGTAACCCCAGTCATAACTATAAAAGTCGATCAAAGCTGTTAGAGCATCTTCTCCCGATCGAGAAATATAATCCCCTTTACATATTGATAAAATATAATTCTATTGATAAAGTTTTCAATCACACCAAATTCTCTTTTCCAATTCTATTTTCCTGAAAATTTTTCTTAATCCCTCAAAAACTTCTCTCTTCCTCAAGGAAAGGGGGCCAACAATCGAGTTCTCTTTCTTTCTCCCCTGCTCTGTAGCTAGATGCTCAACTTGTGCCTCACTGTGAGCAGGCCACACCGCAAGTTAGCGCCATCACGTCGGGTGGGCATGCAGGGCTGCCGCACTGGTCGCGAGCACTTGTCGTCGGATTATTGTGCTTGCCTCCAAGCCGCCACACTTATTGTGACACCGCTGCGCACATACGCAGGTCACCGAGCGTGCTATCGCGCATGCCAAGCACGTAGGCTGCCATGGGCGATAGAAGGAGGCAAGAGAAAAGTGCATAGGGTGATGGTGGGAGAGAGAAGAACTAGGGAGGGAGAGAAGAAATAGGTGAAAAAGTTAATCCACACCCTACATCTGGGTCCCATTTGTCAGTGAAGATAAAGGTAACATATTTTTTCTCTCTCAATCTTGAGCAATACTTATCCCCTAAAACCAGAAATCATGTTTTCTCAGTCCTTTGTAGCAAGTTTTAAGAGAAAAATGATCTATTGTATATGGATGTGCTACCGCAAATTTATTCTTTAAATCTAGGAAGCTCAAAGGTCTAAATAAATGATAGAATAATATGTGCATAGTTATAGGTCATTTATACATGTGCATAAACCGGTCAAAATATAGTAATGAAATCTCCCGCTCGATCACCCTGCGTTCTCTTTCACCTTCGCTCACGTACCAAGCAACTGAATGAAATGAAATGAAAGAACACGCTCGTAGAGCCTGATAAAACAGGTCACGGGGAACGAGATGTGTGAAGATGACAGAAGATATATATGCATCGTTCTCAGCTAGCTGCACAGATGCATATATGGTGCAGACCCACGCCCGATGGAAGCCGCGCACCCCAGAGAGAGCACAGAGACGATGCGATGGGGATGAGCCGGAGCCGCACGTCTTCATCGCCTGCCTGGAAGCGGATGCGCTGGGGATAGCTACACAGATGCATATATGGTGCAGACCCACGCCCGATGGAAGCCGCGCACCCCAGAGAGAGCACAGAGACGATGCGATGGGGATGAGCCGGAGCCGCACGTCTTCATCGCCTGCCTGGAAGCGGATGCGCTGGGGATAGCATCGAAACCGGGCCCGGCCGCATGATAAATTTTCGAGACACGTGGCCTCTATCGGGCGTGGGGTCTGCACCCAGCGTCCGTGCAGCCAGACTGCATACATTTTTTTTCCTTGGCAGTGGTGGGAAGGAAACATCCAAACATCTGCGCATCACAGCACAACGGAGTGTAGCATTGATCAGTGAAATGCCATACCATACCACACCACCTGTCGACGGTACTCTCTGATTGACGTGTGCCAAACAAAGTAGTGCATGTGTTAGTGAGATCACGGTGTACGTACCTTGGACACGAAAGGGGTCTTTTGATGGGCGCGCCTCAACGCGGCGCCCTCCGGCGGCGACGGCACGCGCGGCACAGCCGGCACCGCGGACCTGGCCACCTCCCGGTGCCGCTTCACGTTCTCGAACTGCACCGTGAACCCCTGCGCGGCCGACGCGGCGGTCTGCTCGTCCCACACGCCGAACTTGGGCACGGCTGACGGCCGCTGACGATTCTGTCGTCACACACGCGCACAGGAACAACCAAGACAGACACCGTCAACGTCACGATCACGCCCGCCTGGAACGCGCGGAGGAACAAGCTACTAGCTGATCGGTTCAAGACTCACCGGGGCGTTGCTCTGCGGCGAGGCGGACCGCGCCCGGGGACCCGGCGCCGCGCGATGCTCCCTGTGCGCGTGCGGGGCTCGGTGGCCGTGCGCGGACGGGGGCTGGTGCTGCTGCTGGTGGCCACCGTGGTGATAGTGGTGACCGCCATGGTGATGGGGCTGCTGCGGCTGCGGCTGCGGGCTCGCGCGTTGGTAGTACTGCGGCGGCGGCGCGAACTTGCTCTGGTGTGCGGCGCCGCCCGGGTCGGACGCCGCGCTGCTGCTGCTCTCCGTTCGCCGGTGGTGGCTCTGCCCGTGGTGCCACCTCGACGACGGCGGCTCGCGGTGGCCTCCCGCGGTCGCCGGCCTCGACGACGGCGGCGGAGGGACTCTCATCATGGGCCCCTCCTCCGGGTCGTTGGGGTTGTGCGGCCGGTGCAGCGGCGGCGCCGTGGCGCCCTTGTTCTTGCGCACCTTGTCGAAGTAGACCGTGTACCCGACATCGTCGTTGTCCCAGGTGCCGAACTTTGGCACCGTGGGTCGTTTCTGCAAGTATGTCCAATCCAAGTTTTCAGGTGCCAATGTTAGCAATGGTGAATATATTATGCAAATGGCAACTTGATTCTGTGAAGATGCAATTGAGACTAAACGATGTCAGTCAAACCCTTCCCTGCTAATGTTCAGATTTGCAGCAAATAAAAGAGGTCATGAATATTGTATCCGGGTCAACCCTTCCTTGCTAATATTCAGATTTAGAGCTGGTTGGCTATTCTTTTGACCAGTGCTGTAAGCGAAAACAACGCGTGCCTGCCAGTAGGAAACGGAACCGTGGGCTTATATGCTTTACAAAAGTGATTGAGTGTTTAAACAATGCTGAGAAGAAAGACGTGTTCAATCAAGGGTGTCTATATAGTTTTATTATAAGAGTAGACTCCCTATCCATAGAACGTGTGCAAATCTTCAATCAGAAGGCAAAACATACATTTGAACAACCGTTCATCTCATCTTGTTCATCTCAAGAAGTATGAACATACAATTACGAGTTTACGTGAAATGAATCTAGCTAGACATGAGTCGTTTGTGCCTATATATCCTCCATGAATCTACTTGCAACTCCGGTGGTTTCATTTCGATGCTATTTTATCGAAATGGTTTGATAATTTGCAGCATAATGTTGTTATCCATGAATCATGCATTATTCTAGCATCACTTCATGGCTAACTTAAAGCTGCAAATGGTTCAGGCTGAGGCTGGCAACCCTGGTGTATGCCAAGATACTGTAATCATTTTAAATTATTCCAAACTAAGGTGAGATCAGAGGCGCACCATGAATGAATGAAACGTTATATTATATATATATATATATCTAAAACTAAATATTTTTTGCGTATGCATAGAGATGCATGTTCATACTAAAAACGCCCAAATAATTAAGGTGGGATATGTATAATTAATACGGCACACGAAAGAACACAAAGATTCTTCATAGTTGAGCAAAAACATGGTTATGTTATCTATACATCAAAGAGAAACCAGACAGCAGGGAAGAAGCAGCAGCACTCACGGCCATTCACGCCCGGAGAGGAACCAAACCAGCCGGACGGCGACGGTGATGTCGGCGGCGAGGTCTTGATCAGGTGGTCTCTTCTCCCCCTTCCCCCTGCAGAGAGGAGAGAGAAAGAGGCAGCAACGGCAGGCCCCAAGGTAGGGGAGAGAAGGTAGCTTGGTGGCAGCCAAAATTTGGCAATCCTCTATCTAAAAAAGGAGAGCCCAACTGCGGAAGGGAGGGAAGAAGCTGCAAAATAGTGGCAGCCCAATTCGGCAATGGTCTTTTATAGACGGGACGTGGCGTGGCGTGGTGTGCATATGCCTGCTGCGATCCTAGTCCTATACCTACCAAAACCGAGTCGTCTCTCCGTCTCCGTGTCTTCCTTCTTGCCGTTTGTATTGACCTCGTCCCGGCAGAATTCGTTGGAGTTTAATTCTCTGTACTTTTGTTACGTTTTGCTTGATAATAACAGGGACCGAGTTATCTGGCGACAGGTCACGCCCTCAGGGAGCGTGCAACCCCTCATTCCTCCCCGCGCCGCGCTCCCATCCTCCCCCACCCACTCCACCGCCGGCCGTGGCTTCCTCCCCGCGCCGGCCGCAACACGCCGCCGCCCCTCGACCCCGCCCTCCCCTAAACTCACGGAGGAGCTCGCCGATGTCGGTCCTCGTCCTCACCCCGCCTCCACCACCGGCAGCTGGCAGCGAGCCGCCTCGCCGCGCCACCCACAACCCGGCCCCGCCCCTCGAACCCGCCCACGCTAACCACACCGCACCTCGCCGGCGAACACGCCCGCGACTCCCCCTTCGCCAACCCTGCCCAACCAGTTGCCCACCGCTGCCCGTGCAGCGGCGCCCCCGCCGTCTAACTCGCATTGACAACAATATACTAACATCTGAAAGCACCAGGTAAAAGCTATCAACACAGACCATGCCACCAACCATGACTCCATGAGAGATGGCTGGATGAGGCCATGCCGTGTCACGGAGTATCAGGTGCAGATATATACAGAAAACTACAAAGCAAAGCAAGATCTCTGTCAGAATGAAGAACACGAGTAATCGTCGTAAGTTACATGCAGCCATGACCCAAGAGACTGAATGATACAGTACAACTTACAAGCATCAGGGAATCCTACAAAATGGGACAACTTATTACTCATTGGGGGCACCTTAGCTGTATGAAAACACGGCAGCGGGTCTGGTACCGGGACAACTACCATGATCTTTACACAATGACAATTTTTTTCTCTGTTTTTTTGACTCAATACAAATTTATTCTGTGAAGAATCACAACCGCACTGCATTTATGGCCTCAACAATTCACAACAAGTATAATTGAGACAGTTAAGGGCCTGTTTGATAGAGCTTTGCTCCCCGATTCTTAGCTCCAGCTCCTTGTTTCTCTGATCGAGTGATTCGAATTGATTTTGATGGGGGAGCAGGTACAGAGCGGATGAGAGAATTGATGCTGGAGTGATTCTTGTAGGGATTCAATAGGAAATAGTGACGAGCATGTTTTTTAGCTCATATCTCATAGTGTAAATGGAGAAGTGATTCTTGTCTGCTCCCCACTAGAATCTATGCAGAATTTTACTATTTGGTTGAGGAGTGATTCTCAGTTTCTCATGAAGAATCTACTCCAAAGAGCCTTGCCAAAGAGCCCCTAAGAAAAATACAATTGCAAATGCATGCGGTTGTATGGACGTTGCATATATCTTCACTACATATCATTGATGCAAGAACTTTGAGAACAAGGCTTCAAAAACCTTTCGGTTTTCTTGTGAACATCAGATTATACCAACACTTAGCCAATTTAAATCATTTCCCATGTTGGTGTAGAAAAGGTCAAGTAGAGCATCTAACAGAAAATGTCAATATATATAGGAAGGGGTCACCATCACTTTAAAAATCTTCAGCCGGAGGTGGAAAAGGCTAAGGAGATTTTCAAGAAGGAAACACACCTCTTGTCCCTAAGGGCCAAGGCAAAAGACTCGACTTTATTTGACCAATGGATCCACGATCTATTGTAATCCTTTTATTCAATTTTATTTTCTTTCTTTCTTTCTTTCTTTCTTTTTTTCTAAGCATGAGGGCAAGACCTTTGTACCTACTGTTTTCTTTAAAATTTAATAAATTCTTGTAGCTGCGAAAGCCCCTCCAGTTTTGTAAAAAAAAACCATCACCTACTAAACATTTCAACACTTAAGGCTTCTTTGGAACGAAGGAATAGAAAACATAGCAATAGAAGAAAACAACTTAATAGAGAAAGAACATAGTAGCAAGACAGAGAATTGGAAAAACGCGGGAACCAATAGGAGTTGGTGTTCGGAATGCAGAAATATAAAGTGCATAAGAAATTTGAAAATGAAGTTAACTACCGTGCTTAGAGTCAATATGCATACTGTTTTCAAAGTCACTGCAATAATATAACAAAAGGTATTATTTTCGCTCCTGTAATGCACTGCCATATAGGCCCACTTAAAAGCTACCGACATGCTAGGTGATAATGATGGTTCAATTCATTTTAAAAGTTATATTTGTAAGAATTCATAAAAACCTGAAATGCTCAACAGATTTGCCAAGGAAATGAGTAATTATAGCCTTGTTGTGATATTGGCACCTGACGCGGAAGCGATTGCTTGAATCTACCTAAATAAGATGCTCACGAGAGATCGCACACACCACGCAGGAGACTCGATGATTGATAACGAGGTTCAGCCGAAGCCAACGTCCTTGGGGCTTGCTTACGGGCACTCCTCCCCGCAATACCGCGAGGTTCAGCCAAAGCCAACGTCCTTGGGGCATGCTTACGGGCGCTCCTCCCCGCGATACCGCGACACCGACCGCTTTGGGCGCCGGCCAAAACCGCCGGCACCCCCTGCGAGCCTGTCACTCTGTATTGCTTCTCACTTTCGTGATTGAGTTGGTTACAAGTGCAGCTCCCTCCTCCTCTTAAAGAGGGGCCGGGTTATAAGAGCCAACATCTAGCTCACCTAACCCTATATTGCTAATTATAATACAAATTCACTATAACCCCAATAAGTACAAATAAATATTCGACACATATCTCACAATCTCCACCTTGGTGAATATTTTGCCACCTTGAAGTCTTGTCATGCGCGAACAACCTTGTACTCCAAACTTCAGTTATCAACTTTGCCGCTTCACGAAGAGCAGCCTGACAAGTTTGACTTGGCCTCAAACCCGACGCCTTAGGAAGCCCCGCTATCCTTGCAACTTCATCCCAGTGACTCCACCTACACTAGTGCATCCTTGCAACTTGTACAGCTACAAATGCACATCTCCTCTAAACCGACTAGAGAAGATTACTGTCATTGTCCGAGTCACCCACTGATATTGCAACATTAGCACTTGCCTCCTTTCTTGGACACTCCTTCTTGACATGATCCCAATCTCCTCACTTAACATTGCACCTTTTTCTTCCTCTTGCTCTTGGCCTCCACCTTCCTCCTACTAGACTCACCACTGACCAACAAACCTTCAGCTTAAGGTGCTTCCACTGCATTGTTCTTCCTCCTCTGTTCGCGAGCAAGCAATGCTAAAGTAATATCCTCAATCTTGATTGTTTCTTTGCTATATGTTAGTATAGTAACTACTTGCTCATAAGATGGTGGTAAAGAGCACAAAAATTATTGCCTTGTCTTCATCTTCAACTGTTACCTCTCTACGTGCCAGATCAGCTACCATCTGATTGAAGATGTGATGGACATGTACTAAGTGGCGAGCTTGTACCAGATTTCCTTTAGTGAGGTTAGATCCATGACATCAAATGCTGTGAAGAAGAAATAGTACGTGCACTGCGAGGTGCATTGCACACAATGTAGTCCCCGAGCCTACTGGAAGATGATGAAGGAATCTTGTAGCAGGGTCAAAGAAAAATATGCAGTCCCTAGTATAGCTGAGAAAGCAACCAGTCCCCGGCATTGCTCAATACTCAAGCGACCAGGAAATTAGTACATTCACCGCAAGGTGAAGTGTACACACTTATTCCCCGAGCCTGCTGGAAGACAGAGGAGAAATCTTGTAGCAGGGTTAGAAGGAATATCTTACCATGAAAATCCAAAAAGTCCTTTGAAAAACCGCTTGACACACACTTTGTCTTTGTGGCGTGCATGAAACGAAGTTTCGCATACAGATACGAAAAGCCCAGTTAACGGCCCAGTGACGCGCGGAGAACTCGGAGAGAACACGGCGCGGTGGGTGTGGTTTCCCAAAAACCCTAGAAGGCAGAGGGTCAGGGGTCAATCCGTTATAAGTCCGCCACGGCTCCAAGGCGCACTCCCCATTTCCTACACCCCACATCATCTTTCTCACACTCTTGCCCACATATACCTTCCCGTCTGCCACCGCTCCGCCACTGGAATATATCCAAGCAACGAGCAACCACCGTCTCCAGATCTACTTGATGGTGCCGAAGCGGAATCGCAGCGGCTCGAGGCGGGCGCCACACGAGGTTAACCGCGCCGAGGAGTGGGTGCTGTCCGTCAGTGATGAGAGGGCACTCAACAACTTGGTGGTGCTCAAAATTCTGCCAAACAGGGTGACAGCGGGATGGCGCCCGACGGTTGGTGAGAATTTCCCCATGCCCCATTCCGATGAACTTGTTGTTTTTGAAGATTACTTCATCCGTGGATTCGGGGTCCCAATTCATCGTTTTCTCCGTGGGCTGATTGACCACTATGGCATTAGTCTCTACAACCTTAGTCCGAATTCCATCCTTCATGTTGCTATTTTGATCAATCTTTGTGAGGCATATCTGGGGATCTTGCACCCACTTTGATCTATTCCGTCATTTCTTCTATCTCAAGATGCAGGGGGGATCTGGATCCAAGGTAGTCGGTAGTGCTTATCTATAGCTACGGGATAGGATGGCGAATCAGTATATCACCATCCTGCTTAACACGAATGTAAAGTACTAGGCCTGTAGATGGTTCTACATTAGGTAGGTGGAACCATGTGTCTAGTGCGACGTTGATTAGGTGCTGGTGGTGAACACAA